TATCGGTTCGTCCAGTACTTGTTTGTGATAGCGCCCTCTGTAGGTCACTGTGCTTATAGCCTACAGTAATACGGGGTAGGATATCGGGAATTCGGTCAGTTTCTATCCGTCGATTTCGCTATGAATTGAAGCAAGTGTGACCACTTTATCCACTTAAACAATTTGATAATTGATTAAATCTTTAAACAAAATCGATAAACACGTTATACACTTCCTATCTCCTTAGAAATTAGCATGTATTTATGGATTGTGTTTTCGAACAAGGCTCGACCCACACCAATAGGGAAATCCTTATGCTAATTAGTATGACGTCATATTTTCCTGGGGAATCCTAGATTTCAAAGCCTCAGTCTGTTATTGTGTCAAATGTAAACGCTCTTGGGACGCTCTTTTGCAGACAGAAAATTGACAGATTAGCTTTTAACTTTCAGCTTTGATGTTTAAATATTCTGTATTTCTACCGGACGTCTTGCTGAATATCATATAATGTTATAACTTGATTTGGATCATTGCCTGATTGATCATTCTGAAATTTTGATTGTGATTCATGATTGATTGGCAAGAAAAATAATTCCTATTGTTTTCCAGCGAAGTCAAAATGTTACAGCATGAGTTATAATGTCGAGTTTGCATCATGTTAAATTCTGCTAGTGATTAGAAGTCCATGCACAAGCATACACATAAGAGACAAACACACCCAGGCTCCAGGCCGTGGATGGAAATATAAAACTATTTAAGGCACAAACTGGTATTAATAGACCGATATGTAGTGTCTGCCATGTATTGAAGGTAAACCAATCTGTATTATTAATGTTTCTTCTATCAATACATGGGTTGTGCAATAGAAAAGCAATGGCACAATCAAAAATGTGCATATCAATCGTGAATATCTCTCGGTTCAAAGCTTATTTCCAACAGAATCGTGTCAAAATATGTGTCTGAGTAACAGTTATACATTATAAGATTGCAAACTCTTACCAATTATCAGCCGAATGGCTCATTTTCAACGAAATGTCCCTAAGACAACAGCCCTGGGTCGCGCCTGAGACCAAAAACTACTTCAAATAGCCCTCCCCTAATTATATTGGATAATCACATTTATGCGTGCGCGCGCAGCTCATCCAATGAACGAAACGCCACTTCCCGCTGAAATCACCGGGTATTGATCTTTCCCTTGCATAATCTAGCATAATGACACATACTTTTCGATTGATCACAAATCAATGATTTATCAAAATTTGTAAATTGAATGATTGAATAACATGCTTAATAACTAGATTTGTCTAGCTTGCATTGCAATCAATAATATTTGTCACTCCATGAAAACTTTTGCCCTACAAGATTAAAAAGTTGATCGTTATAAGGCTTGAAATATTTCCTCAGTTTCTCTACCGTCTCTTCTGTAATAAGCGGATGGGGTCTACCCTTTCCTTGACCCAAACAACTTGTTTTATTTTTATTGATAAAACAGCGAAATTTTGGATTTTCTGGGTTTCGAGGAAATAGATCCTCAGTGAAAAAATGATCAATTGAAAGGAATTGTTCAATTTTCTCAAGTTCTATCCAAGGTGTTTTTCTGAAGACGTCACCGTCAACTAAATGTATACTTTCTCGAGGAAATACTCTGAGCCATTTTGCAAGCTCGCTGACATAAACACTCGTTCGGATACTGTTATTGCAGTCATTGTACATTTGTAGTGTACCATTGGTACTACATATATGCTCCTCAAAAGTATCTTGTCCTCCACTCATAATGACTTTCTGTACATACCCGGATATTAGTCGATCTATTGGATCACGAATTATGATCAACATTTTGACCGTGGCGTTCTTGTGTCGGTATGCGGCCAAGATCCGTTCTCTTGCCTCCTGCCTCCTATAGCAAGTTGTTCGTTCAAAAAGCCGTTGGTCATCTGATATATCAGGCAGGTGAGATACGTACTTAGCATAGCTAAATGGGTTCTCACAGAAACCAGGTGTATCTTTAACTTGTACAATTTGAGGGTGTGTTGGGAGCCAGCTAGCCATTGTCCCGGTACCTGCTTTGTATATTCCGACTTGGATTAGATCAGGCAATCTGTGTGCTTTTATGTCGGGATATAATTTGTTTATCTCATTTCGGTATTCCTGAACTTGGGTTTCAATATTTGATATAGAATAATCCTTTGAATACAACTTTATTATTTCATTGGCCCCGAGAGTTGCACTGTTTTCATTGTTGACGTTGAACATTTCAAAAGTAGTGAATTTGTGCACAAAGACGTAAATAAAGCACATTGTTACCGCAAAGAAAACCGCCACTCTCCTACAATGCATGGTGAATATGACGACAATATTAAATTTTATCTTCCGTTCGATCAATAAAATATATACAGGATGGGCAATTATATTTGTCACATTTGCATGATGCATTCTTAGACGAGATACACAATGCTTAGCGTGTTGAATTTATCTAACACTGATGTGCACAACGTATATTTTATAACACTATTGGACATGGGGTGGGGGTCAGATGGCGTTTTAAAAGTTGAAGAGGTGCAGCAAAAAAGTAAGGTATCATATTATAGGTCATTCAAAACTTTTGAGGGGGGTGTATCAAAATCTCAAAAAGTAGATCAAATGAGGTGTATTCCTGTTTTTAAGAGGAGAAATACAAGCAAAATGCATAAAGATACTCCCCCAATTCATTCTACAAACAACTAGCGACCCTTTGATGAATCTTTGAAAATTGTCATTTCCATGTAAACCAATGGGAATTGGTGGGGAAATCCGATTTCTGTTCAGTAAAGCTATTCAGTAAATGCTGCATCAAAAAAAGTATATAGAACATTGAACTGTCTAACTTTTTAGTTGTAGATGCAAACTTATAGAGAGGGGTGTCACAATTAAATTCATTCTTAGGCAAATTATTGAAATGCAGATGATTGGCATATCACAACTTTAATATTCAAATCCACCCATGCTACATAAATTGTTTTAAGAATCGATAGCCAATACTCATAACATTGAAAAACAGAGTATTCTGTCTCAAATGATGTGGGATAGACGAAATCGAGTCTCGAAGTCCATAATTGATTCAAAGGGCCAACATCCACTCGCTTAAATTAACAATATGGAACAATTTGCAACAAACATACGTATATCTGTTATATCATGTCGCGTTATTGCTAAATGATATGCCTTTACAATGTTATATTATTAAGAACACATTGAGTTTCGTAATTGAGTTTATTAAACAAGCAACATATTTATTGGCCCATTCTGTATACGTGTCCATATAAGGTTGCTGTGTATCATTATATTTCATCTCTGTAACTTATGTTACCCTCAGTAAAGGTCTCACTCCGTTAACCTAGCAGTTTACATCTAAATGTCATCGAAATTTTCCATCAATACCGCATGCTCACATTGAACTTCGTGTGTCTCTCATGTAAAATGCTCTACTAATTACCCGTTGATCCAAATCCGCTAATTTGTGCTATTTCAGCACATGATATACCCAATGCTCTATAGGTTTGAATATTTATAATCATACAGATAAACAAAAACATGGTATTTTGATGATGATGACGTGATGGTATTCGACAATGCATTGCTACAAAAATAGTTTTGATTATAAAATGTAATGCTGCCTTTAAATCATTGTCGATAAAGAGCCAAAAACAGCAAATATGAGACGATATGGCTAGTAATTTTGACAGAGCACATAGTATCTTAATATGTTCACCGATTTTTCTGAGAAAACGAGGATTTAAGTAAGGGTGTATCATCTTAACATGGGGATACAATTGACTTAAAAGCTGTATATCATCATACACAAAGCTATATGTCATCATGGGCTAATCCCCATTATCTCAGAAGATATCAAGTTCATCGAGTATCTACAAGTAGATTCATGTCGAGATGGTAGTTTCAGAGCCCGTTTATTTCAAAAGGGCATGTCTCTCGACAGTATATGACTACGCAATAACGCAGATGCGAGTAGGTAGTTACCAGTTTCGCCACCAGGTGGCTCGTTCGGGTCAGATAGCATGGCGGGTATAGTAGAAAGTTCCCTTTAACTTAAATTACATCTGTTTTAGTGGTTCAATTTTCATATTACCCTTATGTATCTAATAATTATGCAAATCAAAATATGTCCAGTAAATGAAAATGTTATCTGACAAATACAAGAAAAGATATTTCACTTTTTGCGATTTTGTAACATGGGCTCTATGGAGAATCAACCCGAACTAGAAGTCACTCTTTCAAAAATAATGAAATTTTCAAACTTGATAAATAATTTTCGAAACCATATTTCTAGATGTACTTTTACATGTAGATTTCAAATATAACATCGCTTTGACTGAATTTTGAATATTTAATGGCGTAAATCAAGATTGTTTCTACTCGCATCTAGTCTATTGCAAAATGTTGTTATCCTTATGCAAGAAATCATCATAATAACGGATTTCACACATTATTTCAGGGATAGAGAGCGGAATAATATACTACTAAGGAAAAGAGGAATAGTTTAACGGCGTTTGCAAAATAGTTGATTGTTGTCTACAACGAACTTGAAGGATCCGGGATTCAATGGAAAAAGAAACAAGGATAACCCTTCGTTCAATTAGGATCAAAATAGCAAAATGGAGAGATCAATCTGTTCAAATCAAGTTGAACAGACAGACAGACAAAGCTATCGTAAAGATTATTCAAAGGAATTAGTTCCGGGAATTAATTACACAGATTCCAAATGAAGTGAATGTAGATCTTGATTGCATTATTCTAGATTCTAATTTGAATGATACTAAAACCCAAGCCAGATTTTCTAATATTCTAACTTTTCTGCTTTAACATGAAACGTGTTATGTTTATCGTGTATTTATTGTAAATAACATGAAACTATAATACATACATAATATATAGAGCACACTTGGACTATGTACAATATTTACAATTTCAATCTCATATTTGGCACCTTGGAATAACCATATCGATGCTTGTGGACTCCAAGATACATGAACATCAGAATCAGCACCCACTACATAGGATTATGTTTTCTCTGATTTTGAACTTTCTTGGAATCTCGCAATGACATCGTTCTGGATATAAACTTATTAATGTCAGAATCGAAATGTTCAATCAATGTCAATAATTCAAAGGGGTATTGTTAAATTAAATGTTTAGAATTTGACTTTGAGTCCTGTGGCAATCTTGCCATAACATGCCTCCCAGGCGTGTTCGTCGAATCCAGATGTCACTTCATTCAAGGTCTCCAAGAGTGGGCCTTGGAATTCCTGAAAGTAACAACATGTTTTTAAATATAACTCCATCTTTTTATCAATCTCTGAAAAACACTCATACAGATGATTAAATTGTTTCGTTAAGGTTGGTTTAGTTGGACGTACATGGTGCAGGTATTTATGCATTCTCTACATACCATTCATTTTGCTTTCCATTATTCAAGAGACCTATGATCATTTATTTTCTTGCAAAACTTACATCAAAATAACGTGGCTCGAATCCTCCACTGATGCGTGCCACGTGCTGGGCACTGAGGTGAGCGAGTTGCTCATTGAGGGTCTGTGGGTCGGTCAACAAGTTGAGGCTGATGTCAAGTCCGTTCAAGATTCTAATGGCATGAGCAGAAAACTCTGCGCTCTCTGGATTATCAACTTTAACTCTCGCGAAGAGAGACTTGGCCCCTGGCTGTTTGACGAAGAATCTACAAGAAGAAGAATCCAAACAGAGTGTAGTGGTTAGAAAATGATTCATTGATGGCTTATTTGTCATTCACTCTTAATTACGTTTTATGGGAATACGGTTTGAGATGATTGAAAATATGCAGCTAGAACTACACTAGACCAGTTGTAAATTTGAATATCCCAACAAGTATTTTTCCGATTTGCTAGCATTAAAATTTTGTCCACTGATGGAAAGTTACTTTTTTAAATGTTTCCCACCAGTATGGATTATAAATAGAACATACTTTGCGAAGATTTCCTTTGCAATATCGGCTTTGTTGCTATCGTACTGGGCTGTCCAGACAGACTCCCACTGTCTAAGTACCGTCTTCCTATCCACTCCGGTACAGCAATCACCGGCATAAGCCGCAGCAACAATTGCCATAAAGGCAGCAGCAATCAAAAGTTTTGCCATTGCAAATTCTGAAAATTAGATAGTATATACTTTTCAGGGAACCCCACGCAAAACTTTTATGAATATTCAATTCCTATATGTCTGTTGTTTATCATCATGAAGCGAGTACATATTATCGTGACGTACTACAATAATTACATATGTGTTATATATTATATATATGTATATTATAATTATTTATTATATAACATTTTGCTTTGGTTTAATATCATTATATCTTTACCCCCCCCCCCACTACCCCAATAAGGAATGACAAAGCCTATCCACTGCTTAAATATCATAGCATTTTGTCAAATTATGAGTATCTTAAACAATTAATCACTTTACTAATTTATTTTCAACATAATTTACTTTTTACTCGGAGAAAACTACAGCTTCCGACACAGTAGATCAAAGTGTTACATAACATACCATGTCAATATTTCTGAGAATAACAAAAAATAGAAATATCTTAAAAAATATCTTTACCTGCGTGTGTTTCCTATTAGTGTAAGAAAGACAGTGTCGATTGGCACCGCCGTCGCCTTATATACTCAAGGGTGGACGTGTATTGTTTTGACATTTACACTTTATCAATCACTGCCCCAAGGTGGCGTGTTGAAGTGTGTAAGTGCGTACGTGACTCAAAAAGTGAATTATTTTATGTAATTCTAAAGTCTGCAAATTCATGAACTGACCTCGAACGATGATCGGTTTTTGGCTTATCTGACGCGCCAGTACGAGGACCCGATTTGGAATATTAATTATGCCGAGACCTTGAAGAGCGATACATAGATACTCTATTATCTTAGTTAAAAATGTAATCCTGAAATGATAGACAGTGCATTTGGATTAAAATATCAACAGACTTTTTTATTTGTGTTGTTCAACATACACTATTAATGATTTAATTTAACCAGTTATCACTAGAGAGCATTTATTCTGGACTGATCGAAGCATCCATTCAAATTTAGCTGATACGCAAACATATAATGTCCGTAATCATAAAAGAGCTGATTATAGTTTATAAATAATAAAATTTGGAAAATGAGACTTATATTTACTTTAACAATATATTAATATATACATGTATACATATATATATACAGGGTGTTCAGGAAATAAAGATAATAATGTCATAACTTTTTTTTTATTTATTCATGGATTTCAATAAAATTTGCAGGGATTATAGTTTCAACATATTAAAACTTACTTTTGGAGTTTCATCTTCAAGCGATTTGATTTTTCATTTCTGTGGTTGGCGCAGCAACGCGAGTAGCGCTAAGGCGGGGCACATGGAATAACTGCAGTAGTTTCTGTGTTACATTTAGCATGGCAAACCGATTTTGACTCCATATTTAAAGCTTCCTTGGTGCATCTCCATGATAAAATTCTTCTATTGTTTTGTTTTATGATATAAAAGTCAAATAAATACTTTCTTAATGATATTCAATGGGATTTTCATGACTTAATGCAGGCATTACATAGAGAGCGACCGGGGATGCAATTTCTCTTCCACTTGGACAATCCCCCCTCCCATACTGCTGCCATAATCACTAAAGAAATTGAGCAGCTGAGATTAGAGCAACTCAAGCATCCACCTTATTCATCAAACCTCGCGCCAAATGATTTATACTTCTTTGCTGAATCAAAACAGGACTTAAGAGGACATGCATTTGAGAATATTCATGCCATTATACGTTCACATGTGTTAAACAGACTTCAGGAAAGGAGTCTAGAATAATTCTGTGAAGTATTTGAAGAAGGTTCAAGAGGCAAACAGTTTGAGTTTAAAATGGAGGAAATTATGTAGAATAAATTGATAAATTGGCAAACAATTTCAGGCTTATAGTTATAATTATGTTTAGGCATTCATTTTAAGTCATAAACATGATAGAATATATTATTGAAACATTTAAAATGCAAATATACTGCACTTCTTCCATATGCCCCGCCCTAGCGCTACTCGCGTTGCTATGACAACCACAGAATCAACCAATCAAATCACATGAAGCTTAAACTCCAACAATAAGTTAAAATATGTTAAAACTATAATCTCTGAAATGTTGAAAATTTTCAATGCAATCCATGAACAAATAAAAAAGTTATGACATTATTATCTTGATTTCCTGAACACCCTGTACATTTAGGTTATTCATTTCGTATTAAATTTTGTCTATGTTACTACGTCTGGGACAGTTTTTGAATGACAAACCCTTAATTAATCGACCAGTGGTATCAGACCTGGGCAACTGCTTTAAGAATATACCCTCTGTAAATTAATTTAAACGTTTGTGTTTCTCTGTATTATCATACCAAACATTTACAATGTGCGTACACAATTCCTTAATGTTTAGTAATACAGTAAAATGTTAGAAAGGAGACAGGTTAAGTCACAGAGTGAGTGTGACTCCAATATGAAGCAATCTGGTCAAAAGCGGATCTTCGTTGTAAAACATGAAATTAAAATGTTAGTTTAGTTTAGGAATTCACCATTCAGAAAAATGTTCAATTCAAAATAAATTAATGAATAATTTCAGTTCATAGAATGAAAGTAAAATTACGAACGTCATGCACAGTGCAAACAAACACGATTGTACATTGTGATTTAAGAAGTTGCATATTATTTCTGCAAGGAGCATCATCCGAAATACATCATAATTTTAAGATAGAATTTTAATTAAGAGATGTTCAATTAAATTTTTTCAATTTCAATTCAATTCAATTTTATTTATTTCATAATTCTTATATAATATACACTATAAAAACAATCCGCTAGACACCCGGTTTAACAGAAATCAAAATATGGCAGTATGTTATAATGATAAATAAGTGCCCAAGAGTTTCAATGTGGTTTTTGCAAAAACTGCAAAGGACAGATTCTTGGAGACCGACTGAGACCGCACATATGTAGATATTTATTTGTAGGCAAAACTCTTTGTAGCTCTTTATAGTTAAAGGATGCAAGCTTTGGCTCAAAATTACTCACTTTGTTCATAGTATTTATAATATGCCACTCGTGATTATTGAGATCAATATTCAGTTCATCATTATATTTTAAAATATAACTTTTATTAAAATCAAGTGACTTGATAAAGTTGTCAAGAAACTTGAAGGGGTGTAGGGTTCGTGGAACTCTGAGATTTTTCCCACTTATAATTCTACCAGTTTCTCTCCAGCCCGACCCAAAGAAAGAGAAAGTGGGTTAAAGAGGTTGTTTGAAAGGGCGATGACTTGACGTTTGCTTATAAAACGGAAACTAATTTTTCTTTTTTTAAGGATGCCGAACTGGTAACTCTGGGCTATTTTTCTGATAAAAGTTATATACCCTTTTAGAATTTTCAACAAGCTTTGAGATGATATTGTTATATTCTTATTGGAGGAGGGGCATCTGCCCCCCCCCTCATTGCCCGTTCATGTTATGAAAAATAGTGTTCTGGAAGGTTGGTAAGCTAATTCTTTATAAACTGTAAACATCTCTGCAAACAAAGATATGTGAACTTGTATGTGCATATTATTTTATGATAATTAATACGACACGTCTGGAGGTCGAATGGTCAAGAATAATTAAGTAGATTAATGTGTTTTAATCTCCTTTTACGATAACCCCGGAGCCCATATATAGAGATAGGACAGTACTTTACTCATACATCTACTAAGGTGCTGCAAGAATAGGTACGTGATAATATTTCTGTCTAAATGTACTTTATTTTTCAGACAGCATGATTTTTTAAGTTAAAGACAACGTGTATAATTGTAAGTGTCTGCGCCAGTTCATTATTGCGCAATATAGTTAATTCTTTCGATAATTTTAGTGCATATTTGTTATTTTGAAAACGCACGTTCTATTTCGTGAGTTCATCAGAAATATCTTTAAAGTTTAAAAGTGTCATATTTGTCAGACAAACGGTGTGCACGTTTATACATCAATTATACATGTACAATGTGATATCTTCCAAAAACACATCAATTAGGCAACACCAAGAGGAAAATGAAAACATCAAAGCATTTATCTTAGATAAATCCAATGAATCCCATCAAGCACATTGAGTCGCATCTCCTAAACGCAAACCTAAATATAAGCAGCGTGTGTTTACCTACATAATGAGAAATCATGGGATTCCTTTAAACGTTCCTTTCCAGTTGACAAAAACAAAAAGATGCGATAATATATTTGATTTGCATTGGAGACATGGTTTAGTGACCAATTATTTATTTTAATTAAATCATTCACAGTACACGATTTACCATTAAAAGAAAAGGACAATTATTTTGAACAATAAAATATTTAAAAAACATTGGATGGACGAATTATATTAGGGGCTCTCAAAAATATTCTATAATTTGAGCCATATACACACACGGTACTAACTTCGACCGTTTATTTGAATTTTTGACCTAACAGATGTTTGAAAATCAAAGATCACGAGTCCCATGCTGCACCGTTTGTGTTCAAACGTGTTCCATATAAATCTATTTAACAAAATATCCTTTCTGTCGGTGCATTGCTTTGTTGTCCCTCGTTTGAGCAGTGTTTTGGTCCCCAGTTATGAGAAGCCTTCCCCACAGCTGGGGACCCAAATGCCACTGAAAGCAGGAACTCTGTATAACAGAATAATGTGCCAACAGAAAGACACTTTTGTTTTGCTTTGAATTGAACAGATTCGAAGAAAAACGGTGCAGCATGAGACTCGCAGTCCTTGATTTTCAAAAATCTGGTAGGTCAAAAATTCAAATTTACAGTCGAAGTTAGTACCGCGTGATACAAATCTCTATGATCTGCAGCCACATTCTGTAGATTTCAATTTGCAGATATTGCTTCGGTTTTAACGCATATACCCAATCACTCTCAAAAATACGTTTTGTGACACGTGCTTTTCTTTACATAGAAAAGGTTACAAAATAATTTATTATTGTTATTTGCTTTATTCAGACGCTGAGATGAAGCTGTTGATGGTCGTCGCAATTGCCCTACTGGGTCTGGCTTATGTAAACGCCGAGAGGGAGTGCAACGCCTTGACAAAGTTGAAGGTGCAAGCGCAATGGTCTTTCGTTTACGGTGCTGGTCCAGCACGGGCCAGGGCGGGTGCTGTTATATTCAGGAGGTCGGTATTTTCTGAGTGTAATACTGCACGAAAATGTGGACAATATTGAACTGTTATAAGTTCAGTATAAATGAAATGTTGATTGGTAATGTGGTTTGTTTTAGTAATATTGATTCATAAATGATGGAGAGAGGCTATTAGAAAAGTATGTTTTGTGAATTAAGTAGACGGCGTCTTTATTCCTAAGATTCATTTCTTGAACAACGTTCCGCTTTCCATAGTCCAAAAAAGGTCCATTTCTGTCATTTAGACAAAGCAAATGGCATGCAAATCTCTTGAATCTTGAAATGAATATTTATTTTTTATCAACAGGACACTCTCTATTTGACATACTCAAACGCTACTCTTTTTATAAAAAGAAAGTGTTATTTGATTAAGACATCTCTGGATTATTGTGATGTGCCAATAAAAATGTCCGTTCGTCCGTACTTAAATATACCCCCCTTCATTTTAGATTCCTACAGAGACATCCAGAAGCTCAAAAAATATTCGCACGCGTCAAAGGAGAATTTACCTCTTCTCCAGAATTTCTTGCCCACGTAGCCCGTGTCCTCGGTGGATTTGATATGGTGATCTCACAACTTAATAACCCGATGGTGTTCCAGTCTCTCCTTAATCATCTCTACGACCAACACGAGGCACGAGGGGGAATGCTCCCAGAATATTATGACGTGAGTATATTAGATGTACATTATTGCATACCCTAGTTTGGGCACTGTAAAAACGATTGCTACCTTTGTTATTAATCCAACTTTCCTACACCCTTGACTGTTCGTTAAATCACCATAGGGAAATAAGCTTTTAATTGACACTTATGACACTCTGCTAATTCTTAGGATCTGACAAAAACATTTCTGGTGGCATGATGACTTTTTGAGCTATTGAAGAATATATTCATATTATTCAGATTTTCGCGAGGCACTCATATCATTCTTGCTTCTATGTCTGAGGGCATTCTCCAATCTTTTTAAGGAATTTGGCTTTCAAGTCGCAAGAGTACTAGCCGAGTATCTCGATGATTTCGACGAGGAGGCCTTTGTTTCATGCTACAAACTCGTCGCCAAGGGACTCAAAGGATTGTACAAGGTCGCACCACAAGAAGGACGACGATACTACAGACGCTTCTAAACAGAATACACGTGAAACACTGAGCTTTCAATTGCGTCTATTCTGAGTTAGAAAGCAATGGAGGCTACCACAGAACATTGAGCCTATGAATTAAAAGAGTGTCATTCAAATTATTTGAGCCTCTGGACAACACGATGAACAAACGATATACTCTAATGTTGTCGCAGCTTCAAATGATTAGCCCTTATAGCTCTAAGGCAGATTTGTATTACTAGGGTATCTGTATAACACAATTTAATAAAACTTGAATTGATGTTATCCCAAGTCCTGGTGATGCAAATCGAGTAATTGACTTGGATTGTTCATTTAACTTTGTATTTACTTGGGAATCTTACGTTGGGGCAAGACTCCTGGCTAAAGAGAAGTTTTCAGGCCGTGAACAGAGACAATTGCCAGCAGAGCATCGTTGTTAAATTAGTTGTTGTACGTGTAAATAAAAGAACGTTGAAATAAAAGAACAACAAAATGATTTATTAGTCGTTGGTTGGTGAAACAATCATTGCTTTGGCAGATTAGACGTTGTACTAGAATCTGCTACGTAGTCAACACACGTGAAATTGTTCTTTAAACATTTACATTGGCATATATTAATTAAAATGCTAGGTTGCCCTCGAACTTAAGACGAGCATTATTTTGCACTATTTTCAAAGAATCTAATTCCACTTTTAAGATGTTTTAAGTCAGAAGTCTCAAAACTAGGTCAAGATTCCATCTGATAGCTAAAATTTGAATTTTATGGAAGTTGGATTCCAATTTTGACTACAGAATTGTTAATCTTGACCTGGATTTTGATCTTGGGATTTTACTGTCAACATTTTTTATTAAGATAACTTTATAATTCTCTTTTGATTTGATTTTCAAATCATGTTTTTCGCACTAAACTTATTTTTTGGCTTTAATGTGTAGCCATTTTCTGGTCAAACTATTATCATGCTTTAATCCACTTTGGTATTTACATTTCAAGCACTTGTATTGAAAGGACATAGACTCGTTGAATATAGGAAAAATTAAAAAAAATTCTAAAAATACTAGAATTAACCTGATATTGACCAAGATAAAAAATGACTTGGGCTCCGAGTAGCAAAAACACAAGATGTAAATACCTAGTAAGCAGCTTAAACCAAGACTTGTAAAATGGACATGCACGAATCTCCAAAGAAATATCTCAGTCGTGTATTATCTAATCGTTTAAGAAGGACTAATTGTAACTCCAGAGTAACAAGGATGCATTAATGATACACATCAGGCCCGTAAGACACTTTTCTCCAAGGGGGGTGCGGTTTTTATCTTACTAAAGAGAATATAAAATTGTCATTTTTTTGCCGCGTAAATCAAATCGCGTAAGACAGAGGGGGGGGGGGGCAGTTACTCCCTATATTGGTTTGGAATTAACAAATGCATGCAACTTCCAAACGTTCCAATTGTTTTGTGGGGGGTGTGAGGAGTGGTCCACTCCCCCTAGAAAATGTTACAGTTTTGAGATGCTATTTGGTGTTTTCTGGGCACTTTCAAAGTGTAAGTTTCTAAGTAGTACGCCACCACCACGGGAATAAGAGTTGAGTGAATAAAAAAAACGATAATTCATGGGGGTCTGGGGGTTCTCCCCCAGGAAAATTTTGAAATTTGGCTGTATTTGGAGCAAATTTGCAACCATCTGGTACGCCTGTGCGTTATGAGTCAATAAGAAAAATGTGAATTTTTTTCAAATTCTTTTGGGGGTGTCAAAGAGGATGAGAGGGTGAAGTGGGTTGGGGTGCCAGTAGGGGAGCAAGGGGTTGTCCCCCAGAAACATTGACCAGGTGCTATTTGATGATGTCTGGGCACTTAAAAATGTCTGAGACAATACATGAAATTCAGAATATTTTCTTTTGTTTTGTGGGGGATGTGAGGGGTGGCTAACTCTCCTAGAAAATTTTACAATTCAAAGATGATATTTGGTGCTTCTGGGCACTTTTAAAGTGTATTAGTCAATAAAAACATTGAAAAACAATCGCAATTTTTTGCCAGAGGGGGAGGTGGGGCTGGGGTGCCAGAGGGGGAGCAAGTGTTTGTCCCCATATCAAAATTTACAATATCAAGGTGCTATTCGATGAAGTTTGGGCACTTTAAAAGTATCTGTGCCTAAAAGTGCCTATTTCCCAAGAAAATTTTACAATTTTAAGATGCTATTTGGTGCTTTCTGGGCACTTTCAAAGGGTATGAGTCAATAAAAAAATTTGAAAAATCTGGGGGGGGGGGGTGTTAAGGGAGGGGGGGGGGGGGCTGCCAGAGGGGGAGGTGGAGTGGGGATGCCAGTGGTCAAGTAAGTGTTAGTCTTCCAGCCGGAATCATTAACTTTATCAAGGAGCTATTTGATGATGTCTGGGCAATTTAAAAGTGTCTGAGACAATACATAAAACAAATTCAGAACTTTTCCATTGTTTTGTTTGGGGTGTGAGGAGTGACCCACTCCCCCTAGAAAATTTTACAATTTTACAACGCTATTTGGTGCTTTCTGGGCACTTTCAGTGTATGAGTCAATTAAAGAATTTGAGAAAATCACAATTTTTTTTGGGGGGGTCAAGGGGGGGGGGCGGCGCCAGAGGAGGGGGGGGGGGGGTTATGCAAGTGCAAGATGCAAGAGGGGGAGTAAGTCCCCCAGAAACACTATATCAAGGAGCTATTTGATGATATCTGGGCACTTTAAAAGTGTCTGAGACAAAACTCTAAAATAAATTTAGAACTTTTCCATTGTTTTGTGGGGGGTGTGAGGGGTGGCCAATACCCCTAGAAAATTTTACAATTTTAAGATGCTATTTGGTGCTTTCTGGGTACTTTCAAAGTGTATGAGACAATGAAAAAAAATACAAAAAAAATATTTTTCAAATTTATTTTGGGGGGTGACAAAGGGGGGTGCGGTCGCACCCATCGCACCCCCCCCCCCCCCCCATCTGACGGCCCTGCACATACACATGCAATTTCACATCCACGATCGACTGAAATGAAATATTAGTTAATTATTCAAAATCTGTCTAAATGTCCTAAATACTCAACTTATCCTAATCGTGAACGATGACAGGAGATTGGGCTTGCTTTTCGGAACTTTTTGCCGGTACTACATTGTATGTTAAGAAAAACAAGATACCAGTAATACATTAACTTATCAAAATACGGTGTTCTATCAATAGTAAAAACCCTTGTCAATGAAGTGTCCATTACTGCTCAACTTGGATTCTCAGATCCCAAGATCTATGAGTCTAGGCCCTTTCAATATTAGCGCCTGAAATAAAAATACCCATGTAGTACTAACCAAAAATTCAAAAGGCCTTGGTTGAACTTTTAGTTACAATCCCTTTTCAATAGTAAGGATATGGATTCTTAAACAGGACATCTGGGCTTGCTTTTTAGAACTTTTTGTTGGTCCATATGTGGATAAAGACATGAATCGTTTGACTAGAAAATTACTACAAGTTAAAGGCAAAAACGAATGCATGTCATCATAAATAAACTGAAAATATTGTTCAGGTAAAGTTCATTAACCCACTACTTCATACATTTCGATCATGTATTTGTCGCTCAATAATCCAAACGTAATGTTAATTGTTTTTTATTAAACGAACACAGACGAAATCCTTGATGGGAACTCTTGACATTTGGCACATGTGATCCATCGAGTTGTTGGATATTGTTATGTTTGGTCTAAAATGAACGATTAGTCTAGTCTGTCTAACTGTGGTCTGGGTTGAAATCGAAAGATAGAGGTCTTCAGCTTTCGCACGTAGCAGACAGAATTATCAAGTTTCTCATGGTCATTTAAAAAATAATTACCAAGTGCAAATGGGCCAGCCGTCATGTACGTATAAAAAGTAGTTACTATATAAGACACTTTCATTTTAGTTATTTCACTCCACTGCAGTTGAGAGTTAATAAATATAGGTAAGAATATGCTTATTATCTCATATAGGATACCACATGGATGGATATTTTACCTTCTTAACGGATATTCGATTGTACATAGAAATGAAATGTTTGATGAGTATATAGGGTTATCAGTATTGTAATAGTGACTATACTATACCAACAAGTCTTAATACGCATTTATTCAATTGAAAGTTATCATAAATGTTGTCTTGCTATTAATGCAATACATTTTTCACTTTGCTTCTTTTTGTGATTCTACGTTTTAACATTTTGGACGATTGTATTCCCAATAATTATTCTGCACTTTTGCATAGCAACAAACATTAAAGAATTCGAAATTTGTAAAGCACACCAAACATAAAATCTTTATTTCAATTGTTGCAAACTATGTTTTACCGGAAAGCATTGACAGAAACTCGAATGACAACATTTTAGAAACAGTAGCAGAAATGTATAATATATGTATATTTTTAATAACTCAACCATGATAATTGAAAATATGATGCGAAATATGTTTTCTTAAGTCATTACTATTCTGTTTCAGTCAATATGCAGATGTTGAAAGTTATATTGGCACTGGCATTCGTTGCCGTTGCATCAGCTGGCAATTGTGACCGACTCCACAGCTTCAAGGTTAAAGCGCAATGGTCACAAGCGTTCAATCAAGACCAAGAAAGAACTTTAGTTGGACGTCATATCTTCGAGAGGTAAACGAGCCATATTATATATATATTTTGTTTTGTAAAAGTTTTTGGTCTTACGTTTGATAGATGTGATTACATATTTATGATATCTTGATTATAAATAAAAAAAAATAAAAAATAGAGAATCATCTACCCTTTATCAATACATCTAATCAATTACTGGTGAACAAATCTTTTTCTAAAAACTTTTACCTAAACGATCTATATACTAGCGTAATCGACAGCCAAGTAAAGATCTTGGGATAAAAGGGGTATCCATGGGCGTAGGGCTTTATTTTGAGTTGGTACGCACATCAAAGTATGTCTGATTGCGTGGTTAATTGAAGGCCGCGCATCTTGGGTTGATGGGGCCGGAGGTATGCTCCCCCGGGAATTTTTTTCGACGACGTTATTTCATGTTATTTGATGCTACCTGAGCGTTTTTATCAACTTTAAAATAGTTCTTTTCTGATAAAACTTAATGGTTAAATATACAAATACAGAATCGTCAATAAATGTGCAAACAAATTTATGCATTTTAACACATTTTAAAGTTTTTTCAAATTCATTTGGTACGCACTTGCGTAATAGTAACAGTCCATTGGTATCTAAATATTGAAAATGAAACATCCAACGTATATCTCAAATTATGTAACAAGACACAAATAAGATTCCTTATCTCACAATCAAAAGCCCGGAGTACAATAAACTATTTTGTGGGGCACTTGTATTAGTGACTTAACATTTTGAACAATGAAACTATTTCAACATTGAACAACATGTACAATGAAGCTATATCTAGCCAAATTAATTCATTCCAGCTTCTTCCGTCGATTCCCAGAGGCTCAGACCCTTTTCAAGGGTGTTGGTGGAGAGTACACAAACT